TTTTAATTTATGCATAAAATCCCGTTGTACCACTGAGATCATATGATAAATGATCAACATACACTCTACCCTTAAATAAATCTTCAACAGTAAACAAAAATGCTGATCAATTTACCAACCTTTTGGCTAAACGAACTATTGGCCAAATTCGGTTATTGTCTCTTTCGTTATTTTTATTGGTTGATTTAACTATTGTTCTTGATGGTTTAGTCGTTGATCATTATGGCCAGTTTAAATGCTAATTGAAAGACAATAGTCATTATTCAATTAAATATACCTATCGATAAATTATTATATCTTACTTACAAAGTAATAGTACATTTTCGAATCGGCATTTGTTCTAAAATTTGAGCTTTGTTAAAAAATTAATAAAAGCAACTATTTTGGAGAATCACAAGATCATAAAATTGATTTTAAATATGCCAAAATTATCGAAACAAAAACGCCATATGACATACATGTGCACTCAACGAGACGAAGTCCAACAAATTCATAAAATCATACCCCAAATTGATTCTGATCTTATTCCACAAATACATAAAACCCTTACTAATGTGGTGAATCATACAAAAGATGAAGAGATTTTTCAATCAATTCGTGAAATAACTGAATCTCAAAAAACAAATACATTAAAGCTCTTTACCTCAATGCGAAATCCAAAAGGAAAACACGTTAATCAAGTTATTTCACCCTATTTGCAAAAACAAGCGCTCGACTTTATTACAGATCCTCAAAAAGGTCAAGTTAAAAAACTAAAAGTCAAGAATGCTGAATTAGAGTCGTCAAATAAGAAGCTATTAAAAAATAATCAAAATCTAATAAGTAAAGCTCAGTCTTTAGGTAGGCTATTTATATTTGTCATAAGTTTGATAAATCTTATTAGACTATATGATTTGTATAATTAATAAATTACTTACTTTATCAGGTAGTTCAAATCGGCATCTTCGAAGCAAAGTAAACAATCGAATTTCAACTATTCGATCGTTGGTACGAAAATCAAAACAAATATCTTCAAATGAGTTCAACTGCCAAATCAATATGTTATTCAAAACAGATAATCGGGAATACTCATCTAAAATGGTTTGGCTTTCTACCAAAATTTCACAAATTGGGCAAACCTCTCTTACTGCAACCGTTGAATCATTACGAATGGTCTATGAATTCTTAATTGGAGAACCTCTACAAAGATGGTTATCTGTTACAACTCTAAGTACCTGGCATAAGAATGTTGCACAGATTAAAACTGAAGTTGCTATGCAAAAAGCGGTACAATGCTCACAATACGGAATTCTTGTAGATGAGTCGACTCATGGAGAGAATAAATATTTTGTAGTTTGTATAATGTTTTGGGATCATAAAAAAAATAAGCCATCAGTTATTGTAACCAACCTAGAGGATTTACATAAATGTACTGGTCAATCAGTTGCGGATAGCACTCTTAAAGCAATTACAAGCCATGGTCTCGATCCAAAAAATTGTTCAACGTGAGTAACGGATAACATTGCCTATATGTCAGGTAGGGTTAGTAAAAACATATAGTAATAAATCCGAATACTGGTTTAAATAATGCTTATTTGTTTTTTTAATTTATCTTTACTTGTTTTTAATTATATTTGTTATCTCTAATATCAGGGAATAAAAAAGGAGCAATTGCTCAATTTAATAAAAAAGCAAATGTAGATACGATAAGAATCGGTTGTGGTATGCATGTAATGCATATAGTTTTTTCAAATTTAGAAGAAGCTTTTGGCAAGTTACCTTCCTCAATTGGATTTTCACGAACACCACAACCATATAATCTACTATACTTAGCTTGGTATCTCCACGACGGATATAACTCAAGTAATAAAGGAAAGCCTCTTAATATGAAATCGAGTTGGATTCGAAAACTATACGATGGGTTATTAGGGGTCCAATTTTCTCAATACCAATTGCCAATTCGAGGTCGTTGAGGATATGAATTACGTACTGCAAAGCAGTATCTAGATCGATGTGAAGCATATTTAGAATTTGCAAACTGGTTCATTCGGAAACTTGAAAATAATCAAAATATACCAGCTACATATCTTTCAGACTGGTATATATAATATTTTAATTTAATATTCATAAATATTTGTTTTAAATATACTGTAATTATTAATAATTTTTTTTATACTTACAACTAGGCGTCTTTTCCGGGATTGGCTCTTAGATAAAAAGTTAAATCTTCAAGTTCAGTGCTTGGTTACATTTGGTGAACATTTATATGAACCATTAATGCAATTTATGGTTGGAACAGATCCTGTACCTCGTGTTTTAGAAGAAAACAGTTTGGTTCAACTTTCACCTGGCCGATGTGCTCACGAAATGCCTGATAAGGTGAATGAGTAGATAGAATTTTTAGATGAGCTTAAAGAAAACTTCGATGCATTTTTTGGACAAGAATTATTAATAGCACTCGAAACACTAAATAATGAAGACTTTTGTAAGCTTTTTGATAGTTTGGAACAGGGAATGAAAAAAGCATATGAAGTTTTTTTAAAATGGATGTCCCCGTGGGTGCATTTACCATTATCAATATGTCGATTAGGTGGAAATTCTAGTCATGAGTTTGCATGAGCTTTCTATCATGTTGCTTTATCAACTTCGTGGCTTTCAGAACCAACTGACTATGAAATAAAACTTGCAGAACAATTAAGTAGTGACTTGGAAATATCCAATAATACATTCGGCCTTTGAGAAGAACTACTTAATAATCAAGAATTCAAAAATGAATTTTTAGAATTTTGTTTTAATTCTAATTCTAAAGTTCATGAATATCCTTTATTATATGGATTTGTAAAAGAACGAATATATTTTATTATAATTCATCAACAGCAAGTAGAAGGACTTTTCAATAAGTTAGATTTAAAAACTCACCCGAATATATCACCTAGTGTAAAGCAAGCAAAATTGCAACTTTCCTCTAGAGATATAAACGAAGAAAATATTAGTTTAGGACTTAAAGAGGCCCGTATAAAACGTCAAAAGCTATCAAGTAGAGTTGAGAATGAGCAAAAGATATTTGGAGAAGAAGAAGCAGCTCGAATATTTCTTGATTTGTATCAACATTAATGTTTGTTAGTACAGTAGTAATAATATTAATTACCGTATTACTATATAAGATTTAAAATGAAAATGTAAATGTTAAAAAAATGTGACCATTAAAAAGATGTAAAAAAAAAATTTACTAGTAATTTTTACTATGAGACTATGCATATATTTGATTTACATAGTACATTGGACACCCCAGCGAATAGTGGTAGAGGTATGCTCCTTTATATTCTATCAATAGTAAAATTTAACCAATCAGCATAACTCTGTGAAAAAAAAGTCACGTTTCAGTGCACACAGAAAATGTGAAATGGTGGCGCAGATCTCCTAAACTACGAATCAGATTTCAAGATTAGGTGTAACGTAACATGATCAGGAAGATTCAAAACAAATGTTTATTCTGTCAAAATCACCCGTAATTCAAAAATTGGCATAAGAAACAACCTTTTATACTCTAACAAAAAGATTTCGTTGGGCAATTTTACTTAACAAACTATTTCTCATTTTCGGTATATCGGTTCAGCCATAGGGTCATGAACGTTTGAAGGGGGTTTTCATTTTGAGAAAATGGCTATTATTTGTCTGTATAATTTAAATTTTGAGCATCCTTATCCTGTACCCTGGGTATAGGCACTTTATCCTATACCAGGGAGGTACAGAAACTTATCCTGTGTCGTCTAAAGGTGATTGATTAAAACAAAATATTCAAAATTCTTAACATCAAATGAAGATATCTCAATAAGTACCTATCCAAATCCATAGAAATTTTTTTATTAGAATTCTACAAGTTTGTAGAATTCAAATAAAAAAAAAAATTTATCGAATTCGGTTAGATACTTGACGAAAGAGATATCATTACTCAAGTTTAGAAAAATCTGCACGTCTATTAAAAAATACAAGTTGATCAAAATTCTTAAAACTTTGAGTGAAGATATCTCAGCAAGTATCTAACCAAATTCGATAAAATTTTTTTTATTTGAATTCTATGGAATCATAGAATTTAAATAAAAAAAATTTTACTGAAGTTGATCAGGTATTTGCCGAGATATCTTCACTCAAAGCTTAAAAAAAAAAATTTGTATATCAATTAAAAAACAAGCTGCGCCAAAATTCATAAAACTTTGATCAAAGATATCTCAGCAAGTACCTAACCAAATTTGATAAAATATTTTTTTATTTAAATTCTATGAATTTGTAGAATTCAAATAAAAAATCTTTTATCGAATTCAGTTAGATACTTGCCAAGATATCTTCAAAGTTCTAGAAAAATCTGCACGTCTATTAAAAGTTACAAGTTACGCTAAAATTCCTAAAACTTTGAGCGAAGATATTTCAGCAAGTACTTAACTAAAAATTTTTTTTAAAAATATAAAATTGTACTCAAAAATAAATTTATTTATTTAAACTTTATTACAAAATTTTTAAAATCTTATTAAATAATTTTTATTAAAAAAAAAAAAAATTACAATTATGAAAAAACACCAAGTAGAGATGAAAGTATCATCAAACTACGACCAAAAACACCAGCAATTAACAATCAAGGCATTACCAAAAAACAACCAAAAGTACCACCAAATAACAACCAAATTCACCAACAAGCAATGACCAAAAGCATTAATTAACAACAATGAAAAACACCACCAAACAATGATCAAAAGTATTACCAAATGACGATCAAAAGCACCAACAAATGGCAACGAAAAGCACCAACAAACAACAATGAAAAGCATCAACAAACAACAACAAAAAGCACCAACAAACAACAAAAAGCACCAACAAACAACAACAAAAAGCACCAACAAACAACAACAAAAAGCACTACAAACGACAATAAAAGGCATTAACAAATAATAACGAAAAACACCAACAAATGATGATAAAAAGCATCAACAAATGATAACAAAAGCTAAAAAAAAAAAATTTTTTTTAATCATTATCAAACGATTATCAAAATATAAACAACAAATCAGGGGGATTGGGATAAATTATCTATACTCACAGGAATAGGATAAACTACATATACTTTCTGAAACAGGTTAAGTTTTCTCTTAAATTTTACTTCTGAATTTTTTGTTTATTTTTAAATATCAATTACTGAATAAACAATGTCATGTAATTATAAAACACTGATTGGTCAATCTTTTTTTTTTTTTTTTTTTTTTTTTTTTTTTTTTAAGGTGTCCTTCGGGACCAAGCTTTTTATTGATGTTTGTCATTAATCATGTGGATCTACATTTTAGTATTACAGAAGTACTACCCACTAATTATTTCTAAGCTAGGTACCTTTATACCGAAATGCCCCCTACTATTTTACCTGAACTTGGTTAACCCGTTGGTTATCTATGGATCCCTACAGGTAGGCGTAGTAGATGCTCCCCTAATTTTTCTATGTCCTACACATTTCCAAATTAGGTTCAGAGAATCTATCTGCTATAGCTGAAACCAACACTAGCAGTCAGTGCTAACTATTAAACCGCACAATTCCTGGTTCCTCTGCCCTTATAGAGTTCACCCAAACCCCAGTACCCAAACCCCAGTACCCACTATACAGACTACCATCATACTTCTGGCTTCCCCAAACTCCTAATCCAGATGGCCCGGAAGGGCGGATCCCTTTTTCCGACTGACTCGGCGGTCTGGTTGGTATAGTGCTTGCCAGACACCTCAGTCCCATTCAGTTTTTTCTTTTTCCAGATGATAATCTTTTACGTAGTACCGTCAAAAGTCTGTGCTACCTCTCTATTCAGGACTTGCCAAGCAGGCTTCTGTATGCTCCAAACCCCTAGATTTATTTAGCT